ACCGGTGGTGGCGGAGATTTGTAATGGTAATGGTGCTTTGGCGGCGGCGGCGGAGATTTGTAAAGGTATGGCGGTGGAGGGGAATGAACCGGAGGTGGCGGAGAATTGTAGTGGTAAGGCGGTGGTGGGGAATGAACCGGTGGGGGAGGGGACTTGTACTTATAGGGAGGAGGTGGAGAGTGAACTGGGGGCGGCGGGGACTTGTACTGATAGTGGTGGTGGTGTGGCGGTGGAGGGTGAGGTTTCACCGGAGTGGGCGGCGGCGGAGATTTATACAAGTAGTGGTGCGGGGGCGGCGGAGGAGAGTGGTAGGCATAATGATCGATTTCCGACGCGAAAGAGAGAGAAAGGAGAGAAAGAAGGAGTAGATGGAAAAAGACCATTTTAGGCTCCTTTAGTTTTGTGCCCATTTTTATGTGTTTGGCTTAATCCTCCCTCCTTCCTTCCCAAACGCCCCCTTTTATAGCCTCCAAAAATTTAACCCCCACCGTCTCCATTGACGACGACTTATTTTCATATTTTAACCTCTAAATATTACTCACCAAATATGATTCTAGAATTTGTACTACTTAACCAGCTAACCCTATTGTTTAAAATATACCGAGTAGCTTTTTTCAATGTCAAACTCCAAAAATCCTTTGAGTGGTAACTTAAAAAAAATGGATTTATCTCAATTTTTTATAGCCAATAAATTATGCAAATACAGCATAATAATAGATGACATATAAAATGTTATAATAACACATCCTCTGTTACATGCACCGTTAGAGTGTCATCCCACATTGGAAAATCAAGAGCAAAAATAATCGGTATATAAGCTCTTGAGTTGAACTAACTATCGATTGGATTCAATCTTTTAATGTGGTTTAGCTCAAGTGTCTCATTACCTAATCCAGTTGTCCATACCCAATCCCAAATTTCTATCATGGTATCGGAGCAGGTTTTGGCCCACCTCGTTTGTCAAGGTGTCCGTCTAGACGTTCATTCCTAGCGGCCCGTTTGTCTTTAGCCCAGTTGTTCGTATGGAGTATGTACCCAACGGCCTGTGGCCCGTTTGACACGATTACTCGTCTGGAAGTCCATACCCAGCGGCTTGTGGTCCTTTAGGTGTTGGCGCTCAAAAAAAATAAATTCAAGGGAATGAGAGTTTATTTGCAAGTGGTCAACCGGTTAGATTCAAAATGGTCCGGTTGTCCACTTGAGGGCGAGTGTTAGAGTGTCATCCCACATCGGAAAATCAAGAGCAAAAATAATCGGTATATAAGCTCTTGAGTTGAACTAACTAATCGATTGGATTCAATCTTTTAATGTGGTTCAGCTCAAATGTCTCATTACCTAATCCAGTTGTCCATATCCAATCCCAAATTTCTATCATGCACACACGCAAAAAATAGAATATAAATAGTAAATTATACTGAGAATTATTAATGCAGTTTGGAGCAAATTCGCCTAGGTCTGCGAGGTTCACACCTATGTAATAGTCTTTCAGTAAATCTTAAAAGTAGGTTACACCCATAAATAACAACGTGCTGATCCACTATAAGAATCTGTCGGATCTGCCACGAAAAATTTCCGACGCAGTTTCAAAAAAGCCGTAGCAGATTCGGAATCTGCGATAGGCTTGCGACCTCCACAGGCCGTCGCAGATATTTCGTCGCTAGCTCGTAATATGCGACGGACGTTTATATCCGTCGCTGGTTTGCGACGACTCTGGGACGGGAAGTGACAGCGAGAAATACTTTGATATCTGCGAAGGAGGTTTTATTTCGTCGCAGATATGCGACGGAAAAACGACGTATATTTGCTACTAGGCTCCTGCGACAGACTGCATCCGTCGCAGACTATTGCATCTCAGACCAATATATATTGTTTTCTGGCATTTTGCAGTTGTTTCTTTGTTTTTATCAACTGGGGATGAGGTTTACAAAAAACACACATTGTAACATAACTATAATCAATTTTTAAGTAAAAACTCAATCAAAAACCACATAACAAATACAAATTAAGTTAATGTTAATGTATTGTATGCATAAACATTTCTGTTGGATAGTACATAAAAAGGTTTTATATGAAAATACTTTGTATGAAAATATTTTGTGACAAGTTAAAAATTGGTTTTTATATAATCATAAAAAGGTTTTATATGAAAATATTTTGTCACAAGTTAAAAATTGGACTATTTTTTTAGAGGAAAAGAGTATTTAGTACTGTTCAGAAAACGTGTTACCTACTGCGTCTCCAAATACGACCAAACGAATGCGACAAAACGAATCATCTCTTCATGTCTTCATTTAATTATTTTAATGTTTTAGACTACTCTTTTTTTTACTCCCCTGTCCCTTATTTTAATTAATACGGAGTAATGGAGTATCTCAATTTCAGTTTACTCATTCAAGTCATTTTTGACTCAAATATTGACTCCAAAGTCAAAATCGACTTGTAGGGTGCAATTGAAGGAGGTGGAAGGGTGTGTTCGAGTCGGGGCGGAGTGGGGGGTTTATCGGGGGGTTAGGGCGGGGTAGAAATCGTCAATTTTACGAACGGGGCACCGGAACACCCCCGGGTCATCCCAATGTCATGGGAACTCTCCCCATACTATGTACGGAGTATTTCTTGATAAAAGTCAATACTACACCGCCACGCACCCAATGTTTATTATCTACTCCCTCCGTCCCTAAATAAACTTCCCCTTTCGTTTTTTCTTTATCCCCAAATAAACTTCTCTTTTTCCTTAAAAAACCTCTTTTACCCCTTACTTTTTCATACCATACCTATCTCATCATACCTTTTTACTAATAATCTACATATCACATCTTACTTTTACACATCACATCAAGGGTATTTTTGGAAAGTCAACACAAAAATATCCCTCCCTTAAATCCTCAAAATGTCAAAAAGGGAAGTTTATTTAGAGACGGAGGGAGTATGTTTTTTTAATATCATAAATTAAAATGTCAACTCTTGGCCAATAGTCATAAATAAAAATGTGAACTCTTGGCCAATAATTTGAAATTTTAATTATATACTCTCTACGTTACTTAAAACCCTCCCTCTTTTATTTTTTTTCCAATTCTCTAAAACACTTCTTTTTTCTATTAAAAAATATATCACTTTTACCCCTACTTTTTTATGCCATACATATCAAATTATGCTTTTTCACTAATAACCAAACTATCACATCTTACTTTTATCCATCACATCAAGGACAAAATTGGAAAACCAACCAAAATCACATTTTCCTTAATTTGGCTAAAATACAAAACATGAACTTTTTAAGGGAACGGAAGAAGTATAAAATATGAAAAAATTTGTGTATGGTATAAATATATTAATATGTTCGTTTTGAAACATGGTTTTAAAACACTATTTTTGTAATGCAAATTTATACTACATCCGTCCCGTGAAACATTTCCCCTTTCTTTTTTTATCCGTCCCACAAAACACTTCTCATTTATATTAAAAAGTCACTTTTACCCCTTACTTTTTCATACCCTAACTATCACATCATACCTTTTTACTAATAATCTATCCATCAAATCATACTTTTACCCATCACATCAAAAGACATTTTTGGAAATTCAATACCAAAATACACTCCCTTAAATCCCTCCTAAAAAGCAAATGTCCCATGTTTCACGGGACGGATGTAGTATATAAATAGTAATATCAATAAGTAAATAAGTGGATTGGCCGGATGGAGAGTGAAAAAATAAAAAAAAATTATGAGACAGAGGGAGTGTGTACTACTTGAATTGGCACACATAGCCTTTGCTCACTCGGATTATATTCTCATATGTGCCGTAGGAGAAAGTTTTGTATAAATGTATAATTGTGAGAGGAGTTAGAAGTATATTAAATTTTCTTTAGAAAAGAAAAGAAACGTGCGTGAGTCACTTTGTTTTCTCTTTTAAATAAATTTAAATGAAATTGAGTGCCTTTGAGGATGAATAAAAAATGAAAATGTGGAGGTATTTATGAAATAGAATTAGACTGAAAGATATAAGATTTTTTTTGGAATGAACAAAAGTGGTGATCGAAAAAGAGTTTTGATGAGATAGAGAGAATTACATACTCAAAATCTGACATATCATTAGGATACTTTGTTTGACCTGTATGTGCAAGAAAATTGTGTTACATATTCTTCTTTTTTAATGTGATTGTAATGAGTCAAGTTTGAATATTTGACCCCTCTTCATCTCTTGTTTGTGATTAAAACTACACCCCAACTAGTAGTTAGTTCATGAGTCCCAAAGAATTGCATGAGAGTTGGATGTGAATGCCTAAAAAGAGGACACACACAAAAAAAATAAAAATGAAAAAATTGGTGGGTGGTGGGCCATCACATGCAATTTTTACATCCAAATGTGGGCCTATCTCCACGTGATATATTCCCAATCATATTTTATCCAATGTTTAGTCTGTCAGACACTCCGACTGTCAAATTGAGCTTGGGTAACTCCATTAAATTTGAAAAAAAAATGCCAATACATTTTTTTTTTTTTGAAAATTAACATTTTCCAGTATGAAATGTACTGTTGAAATAAATAAATAAATATATAATGAATGGTTGACAATAATGGTGATAAGTGGGATACACCAAATAGTGTAACTCTAGCATTATTCTAAAAAAACAAGCATGCCTATTGCGGTCCATTTTACTCATTCCGTACTAAAATTGATTATGAAGTACTCCAAAAAATGAATTTTTGTGGCTTCTTAATTATAATGTAGAATTTTTTACATAGTTTTTTTAGTAATATATAAATTTTATGAAGTACTAATTATTTTTATACCAACTTTAAATAAATTGATTTTAAAAAATGCAAGATTTTACCTCATATATGAGAAACTATTATAATCTAATTTGAGACTAAGTGTCACTTGCTAAAAAATAAAAACAAATTACTACTCTCTCCGTCCGAAAATATTCTTCCCATTTTCCTTTTTGGTCCGTTCGAAAATATTTTTCTCATTTCTTTTTTTAGTATACTTTTTAAGGATAAATATCAATAATACCCTTCTGTTTTATCACAAATCTACTTTTTTAGTACCTTTTTAATAATAAAAGGAGATTTAAAAGTTTATAGTATGTGCATTTTTGAAAATTTTGCATTTTTTACTATTCCTTAATAAGCGTGCCAAGTCAACATGGGAAAAATATTTCTGGACGGAGGGAGTACGTTTTTCACTCATTGAGTCGAAAAAAAATCCCCCTTTCCAAATTAGACTATATTTTTAGATTTGTGAAACTAAATTTCATGATTTTATTTTAATTAAAAATTGATATAAGAATTATAAAAAAATAAATTTATATATTAAAAAATTGCATAAAAAATTATACGTGAGGTACAAAAAAAAGAGGTAAATTTTTTAATCAAATATTTAATGAAGACACACACAAATAAACAATTTTTTTAGAGAAGTAAACAAAAGTTATAGAAAAGTGAGAAAAAATCTTACAATATATGGATGTAGAGAATAAAATAATACGCCCTCCGTCCCTAAATAGATTACAATTTTTTCTCTCTCTCCTCTCGATAAAGTTTGTTTGTTTACGTGATTTCATTAAGTATTTGATAAAATAAAATATTTTTGTCATCTCTTATTTTGTAGAACTTTTGACGTAGTTTTTTAATATGTAGTTTTTATATATTATTGATATACCAATTTGTAAATAAAAAAATTTAAAAAAGTAAAAAATTTTAC